GGAAGATTAAACAAAGATAATGGAGATGGGTAATTGGGTTGATTGTTTGATGATTAAATATAATAATTATATTATTGTTGGTTGAAAACTTTATTTGGCTCCCAAGCCTGACCCACTTAGTTTTCTTTGCATTACAGGTAATGGCACAAGGGTATAAGTTGGTGGACTTGACGAGAGATATTGGATTATAGATCAGTAGTTATAAATAACTGTTGTAAGGTCTATTTTATATTGTTTATGCTTTTGGTCTGTATCGGAACATGACATCCTGAGATTTTGTTATTTAATGAAAATACATTTCTTTAAGAAATGCTTTGATAAATTTTATTTTATCATATTTTATTTTGGGAACAAATTCCGCAACTCTTTTAATCCAAGGATTACTCTAATTTTCAAAAACAAAGAATAAACAAATCGGTCTTTTCTGACCGTGAAATTGGGGATGTCACAGTTGGTATAAAAGCATTAGTTTAAGCGAACTAGGAATTTGTCGGATTTCTAAACTTAAACTTATAATGCTAAGCGATGATTGTGAGATGAGTGTCTACCATATTTTAAGACATAAACACAAGTATATTTTAGGAATGATGCCTAAAATGCTTTTATGTGCTAAATGTTATATGTTCTCCATATATGGTGTTATTTGTTTGGATTTATGGTCTGTTGCCAACCGGATCTGGAAACCTTATGTGTTTAGGATTCTAAGCGTGCGTCTACGATATTTGAACTATCATGTAAACGTTTCGAAGTGATAATGATGATTTAAATATCTACCATGAACGAAGATCTAAAATCACCTTATTCGGTGTATAGATCAAAAATGGAAAGAACCCGGAGTGGAGCTGGAAACATGAACGAAAACAAGAATCAACCACCTGTGTTTGAGCGAGCGGTTGTTGTAACAGCTACACCTGAACCAATCACAATGGCTGGATGGCGAACCATCATTCAAGCCATGATGGCTGAACAAAAGGAGGAAATGAAACAATTGTTGTTGAACAACAAGAGTGAACCCTCAATACCAGTTGAACAGTCTAAGCTGAATGAGGGGCAGTCAGAAGGAGGGAACTATAGTGGGACTGTTGGTCAAGCCAACCCACCGATAGATAAACGAAACAATCAGGATGGTGGAAATGACGGACGTGTATGCAAGTACAAAGATTTCATGGCATCCAAACCACCGTGTCTTTCTGGGAGCCCGATACCGGTGTAAGTCATGGACTGGATCTCCGAGATGGAGACAATGTTTGAAAGTTGCGAGTGTAGCAACAGACAGAAGACCGCTATTGCAATTTCTCTGTTAAAATCTGGAGTACCGAACTGGTGGAAGTTACTGGCTGGTTTGATGCCCAAGGGGAAGCTAGCAAGATGTCTTGGGAAGAGTTCGTAGTGCAATTGAAAATGCAATACTACTCTGAGCAAGATCTTCTGGAAATCAACAACGAGTTCCAAAATCTGAAGAAGGGAAGATTGAGCATCACTGAATATGCTACAAGCTTTACGGAGAAGATGAAGCTTATTCCATACCTAATTCCAACTGAACTTTCCAAGGTCAACAAGTTTGCCAATGGACTACCAGCAGACTTTGGTACGATAGTCAAGCAAGCGACCACTTTTCATCTATCTTTTGTTAAATTGGTTGCGTACTGCATTGAAAATAACTTTGACAAATTCATGATTGCAATTTGCAGATATCTTCTTAACCTGATTTCAGTAATCTAATGAACCTTTGTTTCCACTCTATTAGAGGTATGTTAATAGCAAATCATAAAGCATTCCATATATTATTTTGATCCTACTTTCTCATATTACCTTCTTAACATTTACTCATGTTCCGCAAACTTGAATTTTGTTAATATATATGCTAGCTAGCATGATAGAATGCTATGAACACATATATTGAAATGTGTAAGAGGAAGTCATGTCCTATGATCATGTTCTTTACGAAATGGTGTCTGGGAAAAAATATATAAAACCAAGAAAAAAACCTCATGCAGTTAGAAAACTCACAAAAAACACCAATATTGAGGCTTTAATATCATATGGTTCATTCAGCGCTAGATAATATCAAGATTCTCGTTTGTTACCTATGTAAACATTTTAATAAAAATACTTGAGAGTTGGCTTATGTATGTTATTACAGGCAAGTGAAATAGGGAAATAATAGATAACTCCAAACAACAATTAGCAAAGGGCATAACAAAATTGCAATTTAATACGGAGATGGTTTGTATATGTTATAGATCTTTTTATGTTTTAGATCAATGTATTTTATAGATATATTTGTTTGTAGATTTTATGTGCTTAATGATTATGCACTTGGAATGCAATTAGAAAAACATGAAGATGGGATTTGAGATTAAAAATGAAATAAAAATGAAGTTGCAATTTAAGCAATAAGAAGGTTTGTATTTTGCATATTTTTATGGTTATCGTTTAATGTTTATCGTTTTATTCATTTTAGAATTGTAATTTACCTTGCAAATAAGATGTTGGGTTTGATTTTTTTTATATGGTACACAATTTTTTTGTTGTATTTTTTCTAACATAAATTGGTTAAGAAAACGGTAAGATAATATGATTCAAATACAAAATAAGTTATTATCTTTTGACGAAGGAAAAAATGTACATCCAATGGATCTAAAAATAATTAGATAAAAAAAAACTATTAAGTATCATTTTGAAAGCATTAGTGGAGGAGTTAATTGTAACGATGTGCAATATTAAAAAGAATAAGATAGATATATTATGTAAACAAAGACTGATTTTTAGAGTAACAATTTATTTATGTATTTAGTTTGTTCGAAACACAAAACCATGTAATAATATTTGATATTTAAAATATTGGTTGAAAAAACACTATTTGTCCAACACACGATTAAATACACCATTTAAATCCTAAACCTAAAAACATTACAACTTGAGATCCAATCATTTTTCTAGCTCATTCTCATATTTTGGTCATTATAGATGGCACCTTCTTTAAACGGAACCAAATCATAGTAAATTATATTTATCAATACATTTTGGGCAATGTTTTAAAAACTATGTTTTAAAAACTGATTTGAATCGGCCGATCGAACCGGTTTGGACCAGAAACTGGGTGAGAGAGCGATTCAACTATTACCAGTATTACGTTGTTTTCTGAACCGGATTGAACCAGCCAATTTTTAGAAAACCCGGTTGAAACAGTCAAAATAAACCGGTTGAACCGAATAAAAACACCTGAAAAAGAACCATTTACATAATAAATATTGGTGTTTTTTTTTTCTTCAAATCTATTTAGTTTTCTATAAATAAAAAACATATGGTAAATGTTATAAAGTTTTTTGATATGTTTGTATTTATCTAAAACTATATTTTGTTTAAATATTATACTTTATCTTCTGTTTGACATATATGAATTGATGTAAAAACACTAAAACTTTTGCTTATGTATTATTTTAATGTATTTTGATTCATCTACAACTTATTTTAATTTATGTGTATTTTTAATCTTTGAACTTGTAAACATCAAATTCATGATTTATAAATGTATCTATGTGTAGAAAAATAGAAAAAAAACATGAAAAATATAGAAACCGGTTGACCCGACGGTCGAAACGGAAACCAGTCACCATACCAGTTCAGCTAAAAACCCGGTTTTCAAAACATTGAATGTGAGTTATTTTTGAAATGACATGTTTACTATAGAAAACTATATTTATATCATTAAAATTATTCAAGAAAAGGAATTTGGCCGACACTATCGCCATTTAAAATTACATATATAAAAATGGGCTATACACTAGATAATTTGAGGTTTTGAATTTCTTAATTAACTTTTAGTTGCATGGGGGTGTTATTTGATATTGGAAAATGGCTGTTGACCTTGCAAAAAGATGCTTCATCACTTGGTATGTTTGAACAATATATGAACAATAAAGATGACCTGTGCATTTATATGAGTAATTTTTTGTTCATACCTTTACTTAAACAAAGCTATTAAGCTTCTCTAGATATTGGATCTATGTGAAGAATTGAAGATAAATACTTTCATAAAACAAATTACGAGGAATCCGAGCTCATATCGCTGGAATCCTAGGAAACAAGGATTTATGTGAGGTAAACACTTAATTATTTGCACTAAAGAATTAATCACATCTAGAAACTAATTTCTTAAAAAAACTATTCATACCAGTCGCTTGACGCGGGTAGACGACTAGTATATATATATATATATATATATATATATATATATATATATATATATATATATATATATATATATATATATATATATATATAGACACACACACACTAACACTATAAATATAATACCATTTTAACCAAAACAATTCACAAATACTTCATATTTTTACCATCTTTTCATTTTAAAACCTACAAAAATGTCATCCTCCAAAAAGCCTACCAACCAAAAAATACCTACTAGAGAAACCACATCTTGAACACCTTCACTCCATCAACCGGTTTATTCATCCCCTTTCTATCACTATAGTGGTATGCTTCCGTATTTTCCGCAACATATCCAGCAACTACAACGCCCTACACAACCACTTCCACAAACACAACCACAACTCAACACAAATTTTGATACTTTTGATTTTGATTCTCAGTCGGAATTCGTTGCACAAACACAACCTGAATGTGCGAGCCATAAAAGATAGAATGAATAATTTTTGGGATAATGACTTGCGAGGGTAATTAGGTTTCTTGTTTGTCCGCATTAGGTCACTTAGGTTTTTTTTGTGCGTATTAGACCATTATGGTCGTAATTACCTTTTACATTTAATCCTTTTTACCGTTTGCTTCTTGTTTAACCGGTTACAAAGTGAATACGGGTGTTACGTGGTTATTAGGCCATTACGTGGATAATTAGGTGGCATTTAATGTATATTAAGTCTCCTTAAATTAGGGCAAGACGAATCCCAATCACTTTCTCTTCACTCTCACTCAATCGTCCCCACCCATTGTTCTTACTTCGATCAATCCACAATCAAATGGCTAAAACTGATACACCGGTTGTTGAAGTCTGGTACAATGGGATGTTCATCAAGAAACCACTAATCTATTTTGATCCAGATAAAAAGGAGATAATGTACGCCGATTTCAGGGAGATGGGGTATGCTGAATTCATTGCGCACCTCAACGTGATTACTAGAAGAATATGCAAAGATGTATACTATTGTCCAGATGGGCAAACATTGTGTCAAGGATTGGCCGCATTGCATAACGAATGTGATTACCATGAATTTCATGAGTGTCTCCATGAGAAAAAGAAAGTAAATCTGTATGTGGACCATATGCATGAACCCCTGTTCGACTGGATTGAAATGGAAGAGCCTGAAATTGAAGATGATACCAACTCCAAAGCAGATGAAGATGTTGATTCAATGTTAATAGATAAAGACTGTTGGGAACACGAGGTGGATGATGAGGATTTTTCAATGAAAAGGGCAACAACAACTATTCAGAATAAAGACAGGTTTTCGAACAAACTTTGTCCAAATGTTGAAGAGGAAGAAGATTCTAATGTTGAGCAACTACCACCTGTATACCCTGTGCACAATTCTGAGCAACAATGGGATGAAATGGCTCCTGTATTAGGTATGAAACTCACCAATCCTACTGAACTTAAACAATGTCTTACCAACTATGCTGTTAAGCATGGTTATGATTTGTGGTATGAAAAGAATGATAAAAACAGACTTCTAGTGAAGTGTTGCAAAGACAAAGAACCTTCATGTCCTTTTCGGTTGTGGGCTTCTTGGATGCAAGAGGAAAGGACTTTTCAGATTAAGTCACTTAAATCAAGTCACAATTGTGGTAGAGTTTTTAAAATAGGCTTAGTGAATTACAAGTGGATAAGGAAACAATATTTCAATGTACTTCTGGAAAACCCCAGGCTTAGTTTGAGGAAGATGAAAGCTCAAATCTCAAGCAAATACAACATCATAGTTAGCATTGGACAATGTAGAAATGCAAAAAAGTTTGCATTGTCTGAGATAGAAGGCACTCTAAAAGAGCATTATAGTAGGTTGTGGGACTATGGCATAGAAATCAAACGAGCTAATCCAGGATCAACTGTGAGTATGGATGTTGACCATACCCTTGATGGAAGTCTAATTTTCGAACGGTTGTATGTATGCTTTAAAGGTGTAAGAGATGGTTGGGTAGAAGGGTGTAGACAAATCATTGGGATTGATGGGTGCTTTCTCAAAGGAATTTGCAAGGGTGAACTCTTAGCTGCTGTGGGTAGGGATGCCAATAACAGCATGTTCCCACTAGCTTGGGCTATTGTGACTGTTGAGAACAAAGACACTTGGAAATGGTTTCTTGATCTACTCATGGATGATATTGACAGAGGCAGTGGAAAGGGGCTTACTCTTATATCAGATGAACACAAGGTACTACTCATGTTTACTCTTAACTTTATAGTTTAATTATTAATTAATATTGTAAATTGTACAGGGTTTAATTGAAGCTATCAAAGAAAGGGTTCCTCATGCTGAGCATAGATTATGTGCTAGGAACATACTAGCTAACTTTAACACAAGGTTCAAAGGTGAGCATTTTATCAAGCCATTTTGGAGAGCTGTGAAGGCTACTACAAAACAGAGACATGAAGCTGCTATGCAAGAGATCAAGGAATTAGACAGGGGGCATTTGATTATCTCATGGAGAGGGACCCTAAATGTTATTGCAGGGCTTTTCAAGTAGAAGGAGTATTTTGTGATGCTGTGGAAAATGGAATTTCAGAGAGTTTTAATGCTGAAATAGTTCAGGCTAGACATAAACAAATAATAGTAATGTTGGAGGATATAAGGGTTTATGTGATGCAGAGGTTATACCATCAGAGGAGTAAAGGAGAGGCTTGGGATTTAACTATATGCCCAAGCATTAGGAAGAAAATAGGAGATTTGAAGGAGAAACAAAGGTAAGAATGTTTGTATTTACTTGTTAATATTTATACATGTGTTTATGTGTTCTTACCTGTTTTATGTTTATATACAGATTCTGGGATGTGTACCCTTGTGGGTATCAAAAATTTGAGGTGGTATTATGTAATGACAGGTATGCAGTTGACATGATCAGAAGGACTTGTGGATGCAGGAGATGGCAGTTGACTGGAATACCCTGTGTACATGGAGTGGCTGCAATTTCATCCATGAACTTAAAATCAGAGGATTATGTAGCTAACTGTTATAGTAAGGCAACTTATCTCACATGCTATGCATACATTATTCATCCTTTGAATGATAGCTCTTTATGGACACAAAGTGAGTACGCCAAACCTTTACCCCCAAAGAGTAGAAGGCTACCTGGTAGGCCATCTACTAAGAGGAGGAAAAGTGCAGCAGAAAGGGAGATATCAAGCACACACACAGTATCAAGAGTAAAGCAGGTGCAAAGGTGTTCAATATGCTATGTTAGTGGGCATAAAAAAATGGGTGCCCAACAAAAAGAATTCCAACAACAGGTGATCCGGTTCCTAGATCTTCCACTCCAGCTCCAAGTGCAACACCAGGATCCACTTCTGCAGCTCCAAGTCCAACACCAGGATCCACTTCTGCAGCTCCAAGATCCACTCCAGCAACTCCAAGACCAAGATCCACTTCTGTAACTCCAAGACCAAGATCCACTCCTGTAACTCCAAGATCCACTTCTGCAAGACCAGTTCAAAGTGAAGTTCAATTGAGAAAGAGGAAAGCTTCAGAAAGAATCATCAAACAATGCCTGAGGAAAAAAGTGGTGCCCAAGGATGGTAGTGGTTGTAGTTCAAACAAACCTGTAGATTTAGGTTGATTGTAGGTTTGATGTTGAACTCTTTTTTTTGTTATGTATGCATGTGGGGTGTAAATGTTAGGTAAGCATGTGATGGTCGAATCTTTTGATATTAAATGTAATGTTGTACTAGACTAAGGGACAAAACTATCCAACTTTTGATGCTATTTTGATGCTTAATGGGACACCTTTTTAAGGGTGTTTGTAGCTATGACAATATTACCCTTTAATATATTTTCTGCTTTAAATCTTTAAATTGATTCTTGGTTGTTGAATCATGCGCTTTACAGATGTACTTTGCCTTCAATTACTGCTTCTTCCTTTAATATATTTTCTCCTTTAAAACTTTTAACTGATTCTTGGTTGTTCATTATAATTACTGCTTTTGCATTACACTGAGATTGGTTGTTCACTATAATAGCATTTAGATTTCAATACATTACAATTAAAATTTTCATTACCAAAAGCTTCATTTGCATTCATACATATGATTTCATTACATTATAGGTACCCTTACAATCAGAATAACAAAATTATGGGTACCCTTTATATTCAAAAGATGTCTACTGCATCATAATTCCATTCAATATAATTTAACAAAGTACAATAGAAACAAGACAATCAAAGCTACTTTATGCCATTTCATCATCTTCTTCATTTCATTCAGCTCATGACTAAGACCCAAAAGCTCCTCTGTGTACGGATCTTCAACAACCCATTCCCAAAATCCACACTTTCTCCCTGCTCTCTATAAAAAAAATGAAAAAGAACAAAACTTTAGCATAAATGCCATAACTTACACACTTATAACAGAGATTTAAAGAGAGAAAAGCTTCAATCTTCAAAATTGGCCATTACCAATGAATTAGGGCATGTTCTGAACCTTTTCCTCGGATTCTGTGGTGTCGTGGAGACTCGAATCCGACTCGGGAGCCCACAGTAGCACATGATTCGGTTGTTTGAGGTGGAGGCGATGGAGGCTTGCGACATCTTCTTCTGTTCTTCTTCAACTCTTCAATTTAGGGCATAAGAAAAAGAGGACATTGTTTGAGGTGGACTCGATGGGGTTGTTATAGGCATACCACTGGACACGTAAGCTGCCAACTAAGCTAAACAAGAAGCAAACGGTAAAAAGGGTTAAATGTAAACGGTAATAACGACCATAATGGTCTAATACGCACAAAAAAAACCTAAGTGACCTAATGCGGACAAACAAGAAACCTAATTACCCTCCCAAGTCATTATCCCATAATTTTTTTGCAACTTGCTTTGGATAAAGAGACTTAGAAACAAAGGGACAACGACATGCGAGTGCTAGTGATGGACACGTCGAATATGCCTGTAGATGAGCTTCAAGTTGTTTTGGCGATGAATGCAGACGTAAAAAATATTACGATAGTCGTTTTTAAATTCTAGTTGTTTTTCCAAGTTTTTAATCATTTAATGTGCATTTTTAATTTCATGTTATTTTTTTAAGTAATGTAATGATATTTATTTTTAATTAATGAAATCTTTTGTTTTTAATTAAAACTAAAAAATTATTTATTTAAAAATAAAATTAAACAAAGGAGTATGGCACCACTCATTGTGCGTGACATAAAACCACACTTTTTTGACAAAAAGTGACGTGTCGCGTACGTGATAGTGAAGGGCATGCACATTTTGTGGCGCCACTCCCTCTAGTCTAATGTGTTTATTTGTTCCAGTCCACATGCCAACCTTAGAAGCTCTCATAATTATAAGAACCAGGTTTAATTAGTGACTCTTTTAGATTGTATTCTTCCAACCATAATCTTAATTGAAACATGTTACAACTCAGAAGGCTATAATTTCTAAATCATTTGGTTATATTAAATATTTGAAAAAAATGACGCAACGACTCTATTATGTACTAAGACTTTGCCCATTAAGACCCTAATGTTTTTTTTCGTGCCTTTTAAGGGAATAAATTGATTTTTGTTGGGTCGATTTGGTCATTTTAGACAAAATGAAGGGGTAACCAGGTTACCCCTTTGCCACACAGATGACTAATCATTGGTCTTTCTCCCCAGTAAAGAAAAAGTCAAACCCCCACCTTCATCTTCTTTCTTCCCCAACCCATCTTGTTTCCATCCCTTTGCACCATGTGAAGTTTTAATTGACGACAAATCAAATCCCTATGTTTAATGCCACCCTAAACCCAAATCAGGCATCTTTGAACACATATACATCTCCCTACCTTTGTGTATCAGTCTTTGTGTTCTTTTAACTTTTAGTATGTGCCTGTGTGTGTTGTTCATTTTTGTGTGTACGTGTGATTATAGTTTTCATCGGTAGTCAAAAACCCTTGAAATTCAAATCGGTAGATACTGGAGACATTTATCTAGATCATTCTTTCTCTTTCTTGATCTACCTTCTCCATTGATTCTTTTCTGAACCACGTTCTCCAATTCTTTAAAAAAACTTCATTGATAAAGCTAGAAAGATAAATAAAAAAAAGAACTACCACAGAAACTCAACAAACATGGTCTATGTGTTCTTTCCCACTACCATTGATGATCCTTTTAAGAACAACAACAAGAACAACAGAAGAGAACTCAAAATGTCATATTCCCGATGTATCTACTGCAAAAAAATGTTAACAATCACCTCCCTTATTTCCCTTCTTCGATGAATGTAAATTCATGGCTTTCCACCATTGTAAAATCACACTCCATTGTCTCCTTCATCGTGAACACATGAAGACGAAGAACATTCGAGATCCATCTCCACCACACCCCACCTATCTATGACTCCTAATTAACTCCGACGACCACTTCCCTCTCCCAATTGATGTGTCTAATCTGGAAGAACTATGAAAATCAAACCCAATTGTGTATCGTTGTGTGTGAAACTTAGGAAGATGAAGATTTGGTTCTAAAATCGCCACAAATCCCTCCCATACACCAAAATTAATGCATTTCTCGTTGAACGTAAGGATTTCAAATGCCTCTCACTCACACACTCTTTTTTGTCTTCAATCAAGTTTGTAGTTGCCAGCAAGGGCATATTTTTTTCGGAGCTTTTTGCATAGAAAATATAGGGTTTTAAGTAATTTCTTTGGGAGCTTTCAAACGAAACAATAATGTATGTGTGTTGATGGTTTATATGGATTGGTTTTTATTTTCAG